ACTTTCTATTTGATTAATTACGTTCTTAGTTATACTTTCAAAAAATTTAAGACTACAAGAAGTCTAATCTATTTTAGGGTTAGATTTTTTTAGCCATGATAAACCTAAAATAATTGATTTAGAGGGAGATCTAATGATATTAAATATTATAAAGCTACTATGACCATTAGTTGTTACTTCTATAGAAAGGATTTCATGAATAACATCTCTTGAAGACAACAGACAACCATCTATGACTTCTATATGAACAAATTTAGTTTTCTTCATTAAAAATATGCCATGTCTTTTAGAGAATTTTTCATCTAAGAAACATACTGAGGCTCTTGAATCTAGCAAGGCAAAGGCTTTGTGATGTTTAGGTCCTAGAATAACATTTATCATGAAATATGGAGAGGGTTCTAAGGAGAGAATATGACCTTTACTAGGTGTTATATAAGGTTCTAGCCGCACGGTTCCTATTGTAGCTAAAAAAATTCATTTTCTAATATGCTATCTTTTTTGATCACCGTACTCCTCATTTTATAGTTGCGTCACTTCTTTAGGCAATGTTAAGTAGTGTGCTTAGGTTCTCCACAATATAAGCACAATCCTTCTTGACGATGACAAATCTATTCTTGCTCAATAAGAGATTTCAAACGTACCGCATCAATTTGCATATCCTCTACTTTTGAATGTATGTATTGAAGAGATGTTGGTGTTGCCATTGAATTATAGTAACGTTGAGGTCCACTTGTATTGTTCTCAGATCGAAATTCAAAAAGATGATTGTTGCACTTCATAGCAAAGTCAATTGCTTGACTCAATATTTGAGGATCAGGTAAGTTGAGAATTGATTTTTTTACCTCATATTGTAATCCATAGAAAAATTGGCTAACAAGTGCAGCATCATCCCACTTGATATTAGTTGCAAGTTGTCAAAATTATAAAGCATACAATGTTACTGATCCATTGTCTTGTCGTAAAATATGGATCTTGTTGGTTGCAACACGAATTGCATCATGTCCTCCATGTATGGATCAAAACTCTGCCAAAAAAGCCTCCAGATTATCCAATATTAGATCTTGTCGTTTAAAAAAAGATGAAAATCATGATAATATTGAACCTAAAAAAAGCATACCAATGAATCTAACTTGCAATCTTGGAGTTGGATAGCTTTGAGATTGAAGTTCAATCACAAGTTGTACTTGATTGATAAATCCTCTAAACTTTGATCAGGTACCATCAAACTTCTTCAATAAGGCAATTCTAAGTTTTCTAATACTGGAAGGACGTTCCACTATAAGAGAATGGACATGATTTGGTGTAGATGTTGAAGCAGCTTCAATCATTTTTATATCTTCACTTCCTTCCAATCTTGTTTCTTATGGTGATAAATTGAGTTGATGCATTACAAGCATTAACTTCCTCAATTGCTCTTGCATTTGTGCCATTGCACTCTTCATTTTAGCAAGTTTTTTTATAATAACACTTAAAAAAAAGATGTCTAATATTGCTCCAGACAAATAGAAGAGAGGACTTGAGAACAAAGAAAATACTAAAGACAATATCAGTTTAAAGGAGGATAATCCACAACTTCTAATATGTTTATGTCTTATCAAGAAAAAGGAGAAATCCACTCTTAATCAAGATTAGATAAAGCTCTAATATTATAAGTATACTCTTGTCAATCTGTCAAGACAAGAATTTGATAAAAAATAAATAAATAAGTGAGACTTCTCTCAAAGAAAGATGACAAAATAGAAATAACTCAACATATATATTAAGAAAGAAATTGGAATGGCTATTATCAAAAGACAAGGGAACTAGAAACCCTTGAAACTAGACTAGAAGCAAGAAAGGAATTGACAAGAGTGAAGAGGGCTTCATTCTTGTCTCCATATATACTATTTAACTAGCAGCTACATGGCAATGTTCTATAGGACCTCCAATATATGTTGACTTTGTAGGACACATGCCTTGTCTTATCAAGAGAAAAGGGAAATCCACTCTTAATCAATTTTAGGTGTGACCCAAATAGTTAGCTTGATCTTCAAGCTAACAACATGTGTGGCACATGGCCAACTTGTTGACTACGTTTCTAATCCAAAAAGTCAATTAAAAACACATATAAAGTCAAAGCAGTATCTATAAAACTTCTAGAAAGCTTTCATAGCAAATACTATAGAATTAACTTACTTTTACCTACTTTTAATCACTTCTATTTATTTATACATGTAATTACTGGCTTACATGTATATATATGTGATAGTAGAAGCTTCTTAAAAGTTTGTTTCTTTTTTTTAAGCTTAAAATTATTGCATCGAGAATTGGGACAAATCTCTTACAATAGTTCAAGTGAAGAATAGTCTATTCTTTTAGTAGTTTGAATCACCATTTTGGACGAATTTTTTAGATAATTAATTAAAAAAAATGCTAAAAAACTTGATGGTGCTTAAGTTTTCTAAGTTGGATGTACAACAAATGAAGAATAATCAAATTTAAAGCAATATAGAGACCAAGATAGGTTTTGGAGTATAGAAAGTTTTCTAAACTAGCATATGGTTTATCATAAGAATATTCTACTTCAATTTGCTCCAAAATTCTAATACTGCCATAAATATATATATTCCATGTTTTAATATTAGAATTAATAGAACAAAGATCTTTTATATATATATATATATATATATATATATATATATATATATATATATATATTACGAAAAAAAATTATCTTAAGCTTTACCAATTAACCTTGTTTAAACTCAATTTAGGTGATTTCTTTTATAAATGTTTATTTGGATTTGAAATTGGCTTTTCTTTTTTTCTATTTTGATTAAATTTTTATTAAACTAAAATAATTGAAATCAAAATTAAAAAATCAATCAAAAATATTACTTTAATAATAATTAACTAGATAATATTTATAAATATTTATATAATTAAAGAATAAATAATAAAAGAATAAAGTTTTTAAATAAAAATAAAATATCAATTAAATAAAATAAATAATAATATAAATATTTCAACATATAATTAGATACTTATGCAAAGTAATATTTATTTACACATTAATTTTTAAAATAATAGATATACAAAATTTCTTGAAATTTCTTAATATATATTTTTTAATATCATATTGAATTTGATTTTATTAATAACTTTAGCAACATTTAATTGATTTTTTTGGTAACTAGTTTACTAAAATTCTACTCTCTCTCTCTCTCTCTTGATATATATATATATATATATATATATATATATATATATATATATATATACATACATACAATTTAATTATGAAATAAGATATTTTAAAATTTATAGACGAATATATATATATATATATATATATATATATATATATATACATGTATATATATGAATATATGTATAATTGAATAATTTTTTATTTTAATTTAATAATATTAATTTAAAAATTTTATATTATTTAAATATTTATACTATTCAACATAAAAAATATAATAATATTAAATTCTATTTAAGTATTTATTTTTTATTTCACCAAATTAGACTTAATCTTAATAGATGTATTTTTTTTAAATCATAGATTTTTTTATATTTTAAATTAATCATATTCTATATTTGTATAAATTGGATTTAGATAAATATCTTGTATTTTTAATAAAACTTATATTACTTCAATAAATAGAAGAAATCATAGGCATATAATAGCATATTCTATATATAATATTTTTATCAATAAGCATCAAAATATTTCAAACAAAGGTTGGATCTACATATATCTTTAGTTACTTCATGTGGCAATGAAAAAATTCTATATGTTTTTTTACATTTAAAAAATTATAATAGATATGCCTCACAACTTAAATATTTGGCACCCAAATATTGTAATCATTAAAAAGCTTCCACTTGGCATTCTTATCAACTAGTATTTATAGAGGTAAGATAGAAAATATGATCAATCTCAATAATATTTTTCTTATATTCTAATCTAGATTCAAGAATTTTTGTTTGTTTGTGTTTGACAATGGCTATGTTTAAAAAATATATATTTTAAAATTTTATTTCTTTGTGATGTTTTATCATTCTTAGTGGTTTTTCTTAATATTATTTCTTTTTCACAAATATCTAAATTAAATCCCTTAACATATTAGGTTAGAATAATATAGTTGTATATTGTGTTTATTTATTTAAATACATCATAAATTATATTTTATAATTAAAAATTTTAATATAAGCAAAAAAAATTATAAGTTTAAATTTATGACATTGTTGTTATTTTGATTTGTTTCAATTATTCTCTTGGATAATATATGTAATAAATAATATTTTTCATAGTATCATCACAAAAACATTACACATAAACACATTAATTGCTCGATTTATTTGAATAATTTTAAATAATATTATCATAAGTAAACATTAACAATAAAAATAAAAATAAAAATATACTAAAATATTAAAACTTATAGATTTATTTATTTATATTAAGCTTGTAAAAAAATTATACATAAATTTTACAATATAATAACATATTATAAGTATGTCTAAGTATTTTTTAAATAAATAAATACGAATTTCTTGCAAAGATAGAAAAGAAACATTTAGAAATAAAATCAGGCTTCAATAACAAATATTTTGGAAGTTTTTGTGGTTCAAGAAACAAAATCATGTATGAATTTCGATGCTACAAAACAATATAGTTAATGGTTTTTGAATAGAAACAAAATCTCTAACTTTTAACCATATGCTAAAGCAAAATTATATTTGCCAAAAAAATACCATTTTTTCTGCTGGTTAATTTTTTTCCTTTAATTCGAAGCTTAAGAAACGAGGTTTATCTCCATCCTGCATTTTATATTACTATTTAACATCAATTATAAATAGATACACCTGAGATATAAAAGTAGGCATGTGTTTGTTAACACACGGTATGAAGAATGGAAGAAGAATGAATGTATATGGAAGATTTACATCAAGTGGATGTATGTGCGAGGAACTGGAGTTGTCGGCGCCTTCGAGCAAAGGCCTCCCTCCGCAGCCTGAGCTCCCCCTTTTGGTTTGGAGGTCTGCTCTGCGGCGGATTCCGTGGCCCTGGTCGATTCTCACTTGCAAAGCTGGGGTGCTGCTGGGAGTAGTTGGGCTTCAGCTCTGGACTTGGGAGCTGGGCTGTTGCACAAAAGGCTTGAATTTTTTTTTGTGGTGAGTTTGCGGCGAGTGAAGTTGCTTTTCTGACTCTGCGACTCTTTCTTGTGTGTCTTGGATGTTCTTTAGCGCAGTTCCATTACCGTTGGGTTACAAAATGATCATGTGCTTTTCCAGGGTTGCTCCTATTTGTTGTTGCCGAAGAAAAGAGGAGGTGGATAAGAACTGTAGCTATGGGGAAGTGCCCGAATCACAAAAATAGTCATGGCAAACATTACTCTCATAAGTCGGCCCGGAGGACGAAATTCGAGAAGAAAGATATCCTTGCCACGTTTCTGTTTCCTGAGTGAATTTTGGGCAATTGCCTGGAATTAGGGTTTAAATTGTTAACTGCTTCCGTGTTACCTTCCCCCGTGCTACTACGCGCACTAGAATAGGGTTAGAGCTCGTATGAAGTTTTTGTTTTGCGTTGATCTTTCGGGTTTATAATTTGATTTGCTGTTTGATGCTTGGATTTGTGTAAATGTTTACGGCGTTTCGTTGATGTTCTGAATTCTTGACCATCTGATATCGTTGAGTTGAGGTTTGGATGTTCTGTACTGTTAGGGTTGAGCCCGGGTGCCTTTAGCTTACTCTGCATTAGTTGATAGCGTTTACAATTAGATATGCATGTGACTTTCAGAATTGGAAAACTAGCAGGAAATGTACTTGTGATGAGAAACTTCAACAGTTCGCAGCTGTGGTTTGTGCTGCGACTGTTCACTTTATTCTCAATTTACACAAAATGAAGAGGTTCAGCCTTGACATTCTTCGAGCACGTGACGACATGATTCACACAGAACTTCGCAAAGTGGAGACACCGAAATCTAAGGAGCTCGATCCAGATTTGCCGGGCATGGGCCAGTTCTATTGCCTTCACTGCGAGTAAGTCACAATGTACATAGATTGCATGTAATATCTGACAGCCTGTGCAATGTACCAACTCGGGCAACTGATGTATTAATAGGTAGCCAGCCAATATAGCATTAGCCAGGACGCCGCTCCTGCTCACCGTTATTTTTACGTTCTAGTCCCGGATCAACTTTGAGGGGCCAAATGCAAATCTGAATTTTGAACATTGGGTTACTGCAGTCGTCACTTCACCAACACCACCATTCGCGACGAACATTACAAGACAAAGAAGCACAGAAGAAGGTGATGCTTTTCACCGTTATTTGAGCTCTGCTCCCCTGCCATCTCCCTCCTTCTCCCTACATCTCCTGTGTTGTGCATAATTGTTTTGGATTCTGAACTGCTTCGCTTCGCCTTATTGAATACGCGCTTTGGATATTCTGGCAGGGTGAAGTTGATGGAGGGACCTGCTCCCCATAATCAGATCGACGCCGAAGTAGCTGCTGGAATGGGCACCCCTGACAACGGCCCTAAACTACGTGTAGGAGAAGATTTCGCCTTGGATATGTAAGTTTTGAGCTTCCAATAGGGTTAGGGGGGAAAAGAAGGGAATGTATAAATACGGAACACTGCTGCTGTGTCTATCACAACCAGCAGTAGTTTTCCACCTTCTGGAACGTGTGTTAGATCCTGGTGGCATTGCGAAGTATTCTCTTTGTAGAAGTGTACGAGAGAGTCATCAAACCAGAGTTGCAATCTTGTGAATTTGCAGCGCTTGTTTTTGAGTTCAAGCACACATCTTCAAGCTATGAATTGGTCAAGCTATACAGAAAAAATTGAATGAATATGGATTCTTTACACTTGTCGTAGTTACTGGTTTCTGACCACTGGACGGTGACAAACGACAGCTTGTGTCAAAGCTTTCGAAGTAAATACCCAAAGGATGGGAATAATATTAAAGATAGTGGCAGAGGAATTGAGGCAAAAATCTTAAGGAGAAAAGGGGAATTTAATTTTATTTCGTTCCAATCAGTTTCGTGGTTCCAGAATTTTGAGCAGAATAGATTTTTTTAGGGATATGCTCATTGTGGGCGATGGAATATTTTAGGGATAAACTTTCTTGTTAGTGAATGTCCTGGGATATTGCATGGTGGTTTTGAATGCTGGGAAGCGTGCAAGTGGTGTCATAATGAACATAATATGGTTAATTGTTATGACTTATAAGAATTTTGTTAGTTTTACTTGCATATAGTGGGCTGGGGATAGGTTATGTCTTGTCTGGGTGAAGTCTACCTAGGTTTTCAGTTCAACCTTGGCTATTTTTGGGCTCCACTTCTTTCTTTCAGGGTGTGTTTTAGGGTGTTTTTTTGTTTTTGCTCTAGTCCCCTTGATATTTGGTTTATGGTTTAGCTCTAGGTTCTTTATATCAGTCCAATTGATGTTTATATAAACGTGAAGTAACTAAGATCAAAGTTTCATTCTATTATCTTGCCCCTTCTATTTTGAAAGTTTTAAAAATCAATAAAAGAAGTTAATTTTAATTATTCACACAATATTTAATTTTTGGGTACTTCTTTCATAGTGTGTTCCACCCATTAATCAGACGTAATCTAACCTTAGTTGTATGCAGTTCCATACAGCTCGTGTAGGCAAATATAATGTTTAAATTTAGATTTAAATTAATCTTTGTAATATTATGTTTAGGGTTGAGCTTTTCTTAAATCCTTAAACACTTAACGTATCTATTACAAAATGACGTAATTTAGAGAAAACAAAATTAATACGAGTCTTCTACATGGGTAATCATCAAAAAAAAAAAAAAAAAAAAAAAAAAGAAAAAAGTTGAAAAATAAGATAGCGCCAAAGCTACAAAATTACATATTACTGTTTTGATGAAGCAAAGGTGGACTTCAAAGTGATATAGCAAACGTTTTTCTTCACGTAGTTTGAAAACCATTAACATCCACCGCTTCAATTCGTCATCGAATCAAGATCCAAATAATTTTGCATACAAACTTACTTTCAAGCAACCAAATAGAAGTCATCAATCCAATGTCGTCCCTTTTAAACTACATAAACATCCCCTGTAAGCAAAATTAGGATCTTGCAGAATAGATACCCAACTCACACCTTTTTCCTCCATCCATCTTTACACACATTGATGTTAGGTTGCCACCTCAAATTTAATAAGCAGTTCAAGGACGAGGAACTAATTGTTGGAAGTCCCTATAATATTGGCAAAGGAGGTACATGATTAAAATTTATAAATAAAAAAAAATAAAAAATCATCAATTATTCAACAGACAAACACTTTATATATTTATTAAAATCTTCTGGTGCAAAGTGCTGTTTGAATTTTCTGTTAATCCAGTGCCCTCATACCAACTGGAACCTATTCCACCACGCCTGCAAAACTCGAAAGAAGCTTTCCAGCAAACAACACGATGAACGTAAAAAGCCGCAGAGTTGAATGAAGGGTAGAACATTCATCCGAAAGGGATCACAGCACTGGAAGGCTGGCAGTAACCCATAAAGGCGCCATCTGTCGCGCCCTGCTGGTTTCCCTCCCAATGAAACACGTTTCGGAACACCCTAATTCCGCACACGCGCTAAATAGAGTCGCGGCGACGTTCGCTATCGGATTTTTGGAAGCGGTCGATGCCCGCGCATTTAATCTGATGGGACTCGTGGAACTGGAGCCGATTCGTGCGTGAATCAGTAGGTGCGCGGTACTGGTGTGGTGGCGACATCAAGCTCGATTTAAAGTTAGCAGCTTTATGATTTCACCGTGAGTTGAATCGTAGCAAGCTGTTATGTGTGCGGGGGTGGATGTTGGCAATGTACAATTGGAGATTATCACGAGGTCTCGATTACAGTTGCCTTGCTGCAACGTTGTTATTGTTGTTGTTGTTGTTGTAAGATTTACGATGTTAGTATTTCGATTAGGGTGTGTGGTACTGTAGAGAGCATTTGGTCATTGACTTAAAGCAGCATTTTCGGATGTTGCGGCTGTTGTTGCAATTAGTCATTCTGGATGCTGTAGTCGTTGGTTGCAAGTTTTGAAGATGAAGCTTCGTGAATTTTTATGTACTTGTGTTAGGTGACGTAGAGTTGTGGTTGGGATTGAGCGTGGGAGAGTAGCGGTCAGCTGCTGTGACGCTGGTGTGGAGTGGTGGCTGTCGTGAGACTTTGGTATGGCGATGGTGGTGTTGGTGGTGGGGCAGAGGTTTTGTGTTTAAGAGAGGAGGTTGTTGTCATTGTTGCAGCGTTGGTTTTAGGTCTAGAGTGTGCGTGGGTTGGTTGTTAAGGCGGAGGAGAGATTTTGAGTTGCTGTGAGATTCAACGGGTTGAAGATTGTTGCTGTGGATGTGGAGGTTTTGTAGGGGGGAAGAGGATGGGTGAAATTTGGAAAAGCTTCAGGGTTGGACATGGACATGAAGATGAATTTAGGGTTTACGGTTTCAAGTTTGCTACGTAGCGGTGGCATTCTTCGCATAGGTGGAGTACTTGAGGAATGGAAGTTGGATTTGGCGTGAGTTTGTTTTCTGTGAGTGTGCCTCTTGAGTTGGGAAGTCTACATGCGGTTTTTTTGTCGGAAAGTGACTAAAAATGGACTACGGAGTTATCCAACTATTGAATGCTTTACATGATGATCAATGATCTGGCGATGCATCTCCGAAGCCGACAAGCGTCCCGCAGTTTAGATAAATTATCAATTTCGTAGGGTTGATTCCAGGGTAAGAATACAATGGGAACTTTGACGGATCCTACAGTAGACCCGGCCGACCCCCATGTTAAAGCAGACGATGGGGCGGGTTTAATAGACGCAGGACAGGTGCATCCTGAGCGGTTGGAGACACTCGCCGAAGACCAAAGTCAACGTGATGGAGCCAATGGTGTTCACTTTCCAGTTAAGACTAATACAGGAAATGCGGCGGAGTCGACAGCTTCTACAGAAAATGGTGAGACAGGGTCGATTGATGTGGGAAAATTACGTACGAAACCATCTCCCGTCCAAACCCATATCCACCGTGGTGGAAGCGAAGGTCTCTATCGTGGAGCAAGCGGAGGTATTTATCGCAGTGCAAGTGGAAGTACTCACATCCACCGTGGTGCAAGTGGAGGAATTCTTCGTGGCCAAAGTGGAGGTATCCACCGCGGTAGAAGCGGAGCTATTCACCTTCCAAGCCTCCAGAGTATCTCTTTCTCAATGACTCGGTTACCAGAGGAGGACGCAGGAGTGATGATGCACTTCACCGAGACGAAAGAAACGGAAACTACGCCCGAATCTTCAAGAGCAAGCGATGAAGATGCCCCAACTCCTAAGAAAAAACACCGTCTAAGGAAACATTTGACTGCAATTGGAGCATACAGTTTTGCATTCCGCTTCTCGGAGACTGTACTTTCTCTCATTGCCATTGTGGTTATGTGTTCCACTCGTGGATCCATGCGGACTGATGGGGTAGACTTCGGCACTTTGAAGTTCAATCATTTTCAGGCTTACAGGTACAGTCTCATCAAATTCTGAATTAAGCATCACAAACTTTCGTTTTATCTTATCTAAGGAACTTCAGATAGGTTTAGATCTGAGTTCTGGGAGCATTAGCGTCCCGCGATCCATGCTACTCATGCGTCCAAATACATAGATGTTGGAACATTTGGTTTCTGCCCAATATGAAGTGCTCTGCAACTTGCAATAGTCAGTGCTAGGAACTCTACAACAGGTATTTGGAATTCGGGAGCAGCGATCGATGATTTGTCAAATTACAAATAGGGTCATCGATTTTTCTCTGTAGTGATTGTCAACGTTATGGAAAAATGATCAGCACGTGGAGTTCATCTTTAAAGTAATGGCAGGCCGATGTGAACGCTTTCGGATTTCACATAGTTCATTGGGAAGATTGTTTATAGATCACAAGTTGATGATGGAAAACAAAACTACGTCCTTACGTTGTTTGCCAGTAAGAGCTGCCTTATTCAAGTGACCAGATTCACTGCTAGTAACGAGAATATTAATGTACACCCAAAACCAGACATTAGGATTTTTCTGGCAATAGTATTTTTCCAGCTTTGTGTAACACTGTAATGTGCATTCCAGGCTAAATACGATGCAATTTGTGGACGCAGATATTTAGTTGCTGTAAACGTTATTGTCTTCGTCTACTCAACTTTTCAGTTTATACAACTGTTGTATACTGTGATTCTGGGCATTTCCTTCATTCCGTCCATTTTTATCAGCACTTGGATGACTTTTGGTTTTGATCAGGTATGTCTCATCATGAATCTCTTTCATCAACGTTTATAACTTAAGAATCTCTTGATGCTTATATTAAAATGAAGCTACAAAGCGTTGTCCGATTCAGTTTTCTCTTTAACTTTGTTGACCTCAGTCGAGATTGATTCCTACGTTGTCCAGTTTTTCTGAAAAACTATCAAGTGGAAGAGTTATCTTTCAAAATACCACTTGAAATGACAAATCGCAATTTGAGTTCTAATTTGATATCCACGATGTCTTCATTTGCAGTTATTTTTATATCTCTTATTGTCGGCAAGCACCTCGGCAGCGACAGTGGCAAATATGTCGTATACTGGAGAGATGGGCATTCAACTATGTTCACGCTTTGATGTTGGTTCCTTTTGCTCAAAGGCGGACGTTGCTGTAACCATGAGCTTTTTCGCTGTCCTAGCGATGCTTTCTTCCACCATCCTTGCAATATATCGCATCGCTGTATTATTGAGGGAATATTGATGAGCACAGATTTGTGCGGTGATTCGTTGTTGTGCGTTGTAAATACATTTCTCTTCAAAATGTATTGTTCTGCACGGAACATTGCTTGATTAAACATTGTGTGTAAAAGCCATTTGAAAATTGAATGCTCCACAGTAGAGATAGAACGTGCCTGATCTGTCCGAAATCAAGTACATTTAAGTGAATAAACATTTCATTTATTTACGTTGCTTTGGACGTAAAATGGAAGCACGTGGGCCTAGGGTTAGATCCCGCTCTTAGTAATGGTGATTTTGACTTGAAAGATAGTGAGGAATGAAGAGGCACTGTAAATTCCTTGGCACCAGTAGATGGACTTGAGACGGTGTTTCGCAGTCAACAGTTAGTGAAAAATTCTAACTCGTACAATTATTCCCATACCCCCTCAGAAACATGTTTGTCAAGTAAACATCATTAAATACTGATCTGCGAACTGCTGCAGTTTTGGATACAGCGTTGGCAAGGACTATATTGTGATGAAACGTAACAACTGCCTGTCAATAATTTTGACACGTGCTACCTTCCGAGTAATCAAAATCACCACTGCTCAGGGCGAGAGCTCTACATCTGGACCCATGAGAATTCCCAGAATATGCTCAAGGTACGTCAGTTACATATTCTGCAGGTATTTCTGCACTATTCGTTGAAGTGTGACTGAGTCGGTTGATAAATTTAGTTAAATGTCGTTAACTTGTCCATAAGGATCATCTATACAGGTACTTTCTTCACATACATTCTCCCGAACATGACTAACCAAATAACTCGCAACTTGTTGCAGGTATTTCTGCACTATTCGTTGAACTGTGACTGAGTCGGTTGATAAATTTAGTTAAATCTCGTTAACTTGTCCATAAGGATCATCTATACAGGTACTTTCTTCACATACATTCTCCCGAACATAACTAACCAAATAACTCGCAACTTGTTGCATGTTTTCTGGGGGCTTTCTGACCATTTGTCAAAGATGCAGTGCACATTCTGCATTGGCCAGCATGGTAGTCATCTTCTATACTCGTGTCACGAAGGGATATTGAGTGTGCACTGCTGGCATGCATTGAAGAGGGTTCTAAACTGACTCATGCTGTGTTTCCTGTTTGGAAAACGACCACGGTGCGATTCAGTCTTCCTGGTCCATCATTTTCATTGTTGAACTGTTTCCCACAAGTGGGTGTCTCTGAATGCTTCAGAATAGGGAGGAGAGTATTTAATACTAAAGGGGTATTTAAACATAAAAGCCCACTTTGAAAAGTCATGGTATATAAAATTTGCATAGGTTCTTTGCTTAGCCAAGAAAAGTTATTCTTTGGTATTGGTAATTTATGGAGACAGTACGAAGTGAGAGAAGGTCACTACTTGGATCATGTTATGATTTTGTTGTGATTTTACTCACGACATCTTAAATTTGGATCGTGGAGATAATTATAAATGGGAAAAGTTTGTTATAAAACAAATTCTAGTTCATCTTTTTTTTTGTATATTTTTACATGAGTTCTTAAAGTTTTGAAAAAAATCACTTCATGATAGTGGATTTTTACAAAATTCTATTTATATAATGCATAATATTTTTGAGAAAAAGTTTTAGATGCAACAAACTTTATAACTTAATGTTAGAAATCTTGTAAAAATGCACTTTTTGTGTTTAAAATTTGTTCAAAATGATGCAATGTAGTTTGAGCTACTATTGTATGTTAAAAATTGGCAATGTTTTTATATTGTAGCTTATTTTATTTTGAAGAAATGATTTTCTTGCTTATAATTACAACATACAATTTAAATTCATTTATTTTTTATATTTTATTATTAATTTTAAGTAAATAGTAATTTATCGAAAAGACATTTGTAATTATGTGATTTTTTTTATTTTACTGTCAAAAATCATATTCAATAAAAAATATTGACTAAAAAAATAAATAAGTTTATATATATATACACATTATATTTGAATTAAATTCTAATCAAATATTTTTAAAATATTAAATTTAATATAATATATGCATTTAATAAATTAAATATATATGTATATATAATAAAATAAATTAAAATAAATATAATATATATATATATATATATATATACATAATTTACTTATAAGTATAGATTATAAATATAAGTAATAAAATATGATATGAGAAACAATAATTTAGTTTCAAAATAATTCAATAGGTTTTTAGAATATTTTATTTATTATAAGAATCTGAGAGAACTTAATATCTTATAAGTACAATATGATTTATTTATGAATAATCACATTGAATGTATTAAGCCAGTTAAATTTAAAAATAAAGATGTTTGATGGCTTAAGATAATAGAATTATAAAGAATTTTATGTAATCTAGCAGATTGTCTGAAGAATTCATGATGGCTTGTTATATGCTGTATAGTATAAATTATAAACAATTTTAATTTCCAAATAGTTAAAGTTTTTTATATCTGTAGATTTTATTTTAGAGCTTTATAAATCCAAAAAATATTATTTACATCTTTGATAAAATATATTGGGGTAAAATTGATAATACATTTAAATTTGTTAAAAAACAATCAAAACATACCAAATTATTCTACAAAAGCATGTATAATATTCATGAATGTTAAATTATTTTTGATAAAATGCAAAAATATATTTTTTATTTTAATAAATTTTAAATATATCTATAAATATATATATATATATATATATATATATATATATAATTAAAAAAACTATTATAAACACAATAGTATAAGTTATTAAAAGAATATTTATATACATGATTAATTTCTATTAGACATTATGTGGAAAATTAATAACTAGCTATATATTATAAATGTAAGTCAATACATAATTGAATAGCCATTATAGCTATCATGATTGTTGTAGCATACTAAGCTTTCATGAGGCCTAACAAGTTAAATACCAACATACCAATAGTTTGACTAGTTTTGTGTATTTGTGATAGAAAGTCTATGTTGTTAGACCATGGATTTATGTTATATAAAAGCTCAAAGGAGAGGTTCATTTTAAGCGGGTTTTAATTTTTCTCTCTTTATATATTTATACTTCTATCCTTAAGCAATAGAAGCTTCATCCTTTTCTTACATAGCATTACAATTGGACTCTCTTGATTTATCTTTTGGAGGTTGAGTAGATCTTGTGAGGTTGTTTCACATGACTTCATCTTTTCATCAACTTGAGGATGTTTTGTGATTTTTGAATTTAGATTTTTGAGGAATTGAACCTCTAGTGAGTCAAACCTATACTATTTCTTTTTTTTTTGGTAGCTTTTGTTAGTAACAATGTTAGAAATGAAAAAGAGCAACAATAGAAATTTGGAGCTTTAAAAAATTCTTTCCACAAGCCTTGCTTTGCTCATAATCTCTACTCGCAACCTATTAACAATTTGTACAAAGATATAGTGTTGTTAAAAATACCACATCAAGAATATAATGTTAGAAATACGTTGTTGGGAATGAACTTATGGATTAAGCAATAATAAATGGAATTTATTATGAGAACTTTAGAGTAGCCAAGAAAACAAAGGAATCTAAGAACTCAAGAAAATTTGGCAAGTCAAGTATTTTGATTTGAATTTAATATCTCTTTGTTGGAATTATAATATCTATGTTAGTTTTTTAAATTTAGACTTTTATTTAAAATATTGATGGTTTTGATTTATTGAAAAAAATTAAGAATTTTTATAAATACTTAAGTGAAATATTATATAAGAAGCTATTAAGTGAAATGGGATTGAACTATCTCTAAGATCTAAGATCCTTTTAATCTATAGCAACATAAATCTTATTACAATGTAGGACAGAGCAAACTAGAATAAAAGAAAATAAAATAGAACTAAACAAGAAAATGCAAAATCAAACTTAACTAAGAAAAAGAGTCCAAAGCCATACTTGACCAGATATCCAAATGGCCCTAGCTGGTCTTATTTATATTTTGTCCAACTAACTTAGAACTTTTTAGAATATTCTTAATGACAGATTTCACCTAAATATCTGCCTTAAGCTCTTTGTAGAATGTTCTATTATAGATCTCACAAAGCCTACTAACCTAGCCCCAATTCTAAGAACTTCTACAAATTTCTATAAACTTTCCAAACTTGGCTCTAACTACTTATTCCTATGCATTAATAATACATATATCTTTTTCATACTTTGTTACAATTAATTTCTTTCTATTAATGTAAAATGTCCTCACAATGGTATCTCCAAATTATTTCTTGAAAATGGATGAGATTCTATGTAAGTTTTTATATTACATTGTAGATGGAATAACCTTTCTAAAAGACTTTGTAGATGGAATAACCTTTCTAGTTGTAGATGTCTATTGCCACGGCAAAGATAGCGATACTCCAAAATACTATCCATTTTATATTCTTCTTGAACATCAATTACAATTGATAGTGGTGGTAATTGATGTCAGTCCAAAAAGTATCTTGACTCAGTATAAAATTCCTTAAGTTGCAAAATATATAAGACTAGATAGACTTGAATATGTGGTAGAAGATTGAGACAGTATACAACATTAAAAATTACTTTAAAAATATAAAAAGATCCAAGCCATTGAGGTATTAATTTACAAACTTGGATTGATGTAGCAAGTACAAAGTTGGCATTGAAGAATAATACTTGATTACCCTCTTGGAAGGTCTTATATTATTGGTGGTTATTTGCATATTACTTCTGTCAATTATGTGCAGTAAACAGGCAGTATCGTACTTCTTACAAGGCAATTATAAGCTGTTGTATAAATTCTTCCATTATCAAATAGTTGATATCAATGGAACTATAGAGAGTTGCTAACATAATTGGATACTGACCGATATTAAGGAAGAATGGTGAATGACTACTATTTGCTTAAATATTATTATTGTAAGCAAATTCCAAAGGTGTTCAATATTCATCTCATTCATTATGATGAACCGCCACAAATGCTCATAGCATATCCTCCAAGGCTTGATTTGTACACTTTATTTGTCCATATATTTAGAAATAGAAGGCCATTGATATGGTAAGTCGTGTGTCCAATAGCTTCAACAAAGCCTATCAAAATTCCTCATGAAGCGTGGATTCCAATTTAAAATGATGGCACAAGGTAATCTATGGTGACAAAAGATAATGTCAAAGAAGACCCGTGCAAGTATTAAAGCATAAATATTAGAGCTCACCATAGCCAAGTGAAGTTGCTTTAAGAATTCATCTATAAAGACACTTGTTGTAGTGTCATTGTGAATCATCTATAACAAACATGTAATGAAATCTATAATCATCTGCTTCCAACATGTTGTAGATAATGGAATTAAGTATAATAGTCTAAGACTTTTGCCTTGTCCTCTAATTTGGGCTTCAAATCTAGTCTACCTAATAAGGTGTCCACAACGGTATATTGGTGCCGTTGTTTTTATTCAAGCTGAATGTTAAAGAACTACAATTACTTTTTTCAATGATAATGTTGTAATTTCATGTTTTTTAGATATAAATCATATAGCAGGGATTAATGGTCAATCCAAAAAATCATTGGCTTCTCTAATAGATAGTGAGCAATATCTTTGTAGCATATGCAATTGCTAATTACTCTTGATCACCTGCAAAGTAATTGCGCTCTATCCTTTTGAGCTTGTGAGATTCATACACCATGAGTTGAAGGCCCCTAGCAAAGTCTTGTTAAAGGATCCCTCCAAAAGCAAAGTCAAAAACATCAATGTCAAGTGTACAAAGAAGATTGGAATCATATAGTTGTAATATTGGAGTAATAATAAGTGCTTCTTTTAACCTATTAAAAGCACTTTGTTATTCCAATTTCCATTCAAATAAAGCACCTTTTTTCCAATAAACTTGCTAATAAAAGAACAATGTATGAAAATTACTAAACAAAATAATAATGATATCTAACAAGATATCACAGACATATGTATGTAAGCCAATAATTACATGTATAAATATGTAGAAATAAATAAAAGTAGATAAAAGTAAGTTAATTTTATAATATCTTCTATAAAAGCTTTTTAGAAGATTCATAGACACTACTTTGACTTTATAGGTGTCTTCAATTGATTTTTTGGATTAGAAACGCAGTTAATAAGTTGGCCATGTGCCACACATGTTGTTAGCTTGAAGGCCAAGTTAACTATGTGGCCCACATGTAGAAAAACTTACCTTGTAAGTCAAGGCATGTGTCCTACAAAATCAACACATATTGGAGGTCCTATAGAACATTGCCATGTAGCCCCTAGTTAGATAGTATATATAGAGATAAGAATGAAGCCCTCTTCACTCTTGTCAACTCTTTTCTTGCTTATAGTCTAGTTTCAAGGGTCTTTAATTTTCTTGTCTTTTAGCAATAGCCATTCCAGTTTCTTTCTTAATATACATATTTAGTTATTTCTATTTTATCATCTTTCTTTGAAAAAAGTCTCACTTGTTTATTTATTTTTATCAAGTTCTTGTCCTTGACACAAGGCCTAAAAATGA